TATATATTAGACTTATTCATTAAACAATGCTAATCATATCAAGTAGCTGACAAAATTGCGTTATGGTGAAAGTCTCAAACATTATAAAATTATAAAGAAACTAATATACAAATATTAGGTAAAGGGTTAGAGATTGACAGCCCATACGGAAATCACCGTATGAAATTTACTCTTTGTTGTTGTTGTGAAATATTTTAAGGATAGTTAGGAACCTAGGGTCTTGAGAAGTTGTCAATATCTTTTGTAATGAATTATAGCTATGGTTTTTACAATTTCATAGGTACATACTAGTATTATACCTATAGCTATTCGTGGCTGAAAGTAAAGCCTTTTTTGTAACCACGCTAGGTAAAATTGCATAGGTATAGTCACCTTTCTCCTTATGGTTTTTATGTTTGTGAATATATCTTAATTTTATATACTCACAAACTAATAAACCGCAACTAATAAAGACTTATAGACCTGAAGTTTTCAGCATAGGCAGATGAAAAAATATGTAGATATATAGTAAAATTTGAATCAAATTTAAAATTTGTAAAAATTAAATTAAAAATTTTTAATTTATAAATCAACCCAAAAGTTTATATAATAATTAAAAAATTAAATTAAATTATGAAAAAAAGGGAGAAAAGAAACATAAACAAAAAGTAAACAAAAAGTAAATGGAATTTACCCTGAATCCAACCGCTTCAATCTGAAACGTGAAGGGCTGAAATGTGAAACCGGTCCGGGCAGATTCGTAAGCGCGGCACGGTTTCCTCGTCCATTTCAGTTGACGGGGCGCAGTGTTGCAATTTTCAAGATTTTATTCGATAAGGTAGGCCAGCTTCGTAAGCGCGGCATGGTTTTTTCGTCCATTTCAGATGACAGGGTGCGGTTTTCAAAATTTTATTCGATAGGGTAGGACAGCTTCGTAAGCGCGACACGGTCTTTTTTTGTTTTTTGCACTCTAAAAATTGTGTACGTTGAATTTAACATCTTCTCACTCGTTAGTTCACCATAAATTTCAAGTCTTATTATGCAACGTAATATGTCCCTTATATGTAAATCTGATATTAACTTTAGATATTGACAAATGGATTAACAATGGATCTTTTAGAACAAAACTTTTATCATGTAAAAATTATATAGGTAAGTTTTAATTATGGTGGTTCGGTGTTGTCGACGGCGGGTGAGGTATGAAATTTAATTATGAAGGTTGTTTCGTTTAATGTGAGGGGTTTGGGTAGTGTCGTGAAGAGAAAAGAGATTTCTAAGTTAGTGAGGAAGGAGAATCCTGATTTCCTGTTTATTCAGAAAACAAAGCTTGAAAAAATTGAGTCTTCTGTGTTTCGAGGGGTGTGGAATTCAGATGATTTTGAATGGGTGATGCAAAAATCAAATGGTACTTCTGGTGGTCTGTTGAGTATCTGGAATAAAAAGAATTTTGTAAAAAGAAGTGTAGTGGAAGGTCACGGGTTCATCGGGATTTCGGGGGAGTGGGGTAAGCAACAGCTTCAGTGCACTTTTGTTAATGTGTATGCACCATGTGACAGGCAAAGTAGGATTGTGTTGTGGGGGGAATTGAGTAGATTAGTATTGGAAGAGGGGGGGAGATGGCTTTTGGCAGGGGATTTCAATGCTGTTCGCAATAGTGCCGAGAGGAAAGGAAGGATGGGTGAGACACAGGACATGGAAGAATTCAATCTTTTTGTGCAATGGACTGGATTGGTAGATGTCAGGTTGAGGAATAGAAAGTATACATGGTATAGACCTGATGGAACTTCAATGAGTAGACTCGACAGGTTCTTGTTATCCACCGAAATGAGCTTAATTGAGGGAGACTGGATTCAAGAGGGCATTCGAAGGTCAATCTCAGATCATTGTGCAATTACTTTGAAATCAAGAAGTGTGGATTGGGGGCCTAAGCCCTTCCGAGTCCTAGATGCATGGCAACAACATAAAGATTTTAGACAGTTCATAGATGAAAGATGGAAGATGATGCAGATCGAAGGATGGGCAGTCTACAAGTGCAAACAGAAGTTGAAATTGTTAAAAGAGGAGTGTAAAAGGTGGAACGACAGGGTGTTTGGCAATGTGGAGATCCGATCTGACAACTTGAGG